AGTTTGCTCCTCGCCCCAGCCCCCACGAGGTTGGGCTGGGTGCAGAGGGGTTCAGTAGGTAGCATCCGGGGAGCACACCTCAGCCCTGCCAGTCCTTTTATACACGAGATAGAAGCTTCATCAGGAGATGTTCTGGCATGTTAGTGTGCTTTACGTACATCATTTGAACCAAGCGTTTTTCTTTCTTCCCCAAAGGTGGGCTTTTCAGGTGTATTTGTAATCATTGGAAATATCCTTTCACTAAACTATGCTCGGGAGGAAATAAGAACAAAATAAATCAACACAACGAGTGCAAAACGTGCCACTAAATAAGGGAGAGAGAATTCTAGTACAACGTTTTAATAGCATCATAAGAATTTGTAGAAGATCGACACCATTTTGTATTTAGTAACCCCAGCTTCCACGGATGTTAGAATATGATGTTAGTATATTTTTAAAGCACAGATATTGGACACAAGAAAATTCAGGATTTTCTAGTAATGCAGTTTCCTAAATAAGTATGCTCTATGAAAAGTAAAGCTCTTTTTGTTGGTTTATTATCATTGTAATACCTTATGACTCTTAAGAGAAAGTAAGTTTCACAAAGTAACTCACAGGACTCACAGAAACAGGAAAAATGTTAATCTATGAACAACAGCAGCCAGCTAATGAATGCTAATCTAATATTTAATGCCAGTTATCGTGGATAATGCGGCTAGCGAATAGTAGTTGCTAACGCGAGCATCATTGCTATAATTTAACATCACTTAAGTAAGAACTAAATCAAAAAAAGCACTTTTGAACCAAGTGTGAAAAGTGTTTAATCCCTAAAATTTTTATTTTTGTGACTTGCTTGAAAGTGTATGTTCTCTTTGTTCAGGACATTTCTTTTCTTTAGAACTTATTTGTAAAATATGAAATGTTGTAAGAAGAAAACCATTTTGGAAAATGAAAATCACCTTTTCCAAGGCATTGTTATTTCCCTAATTATTGTAAAGAATAACAGGGACACTTTTCTGTCTTGAGAGTGCCACTACTTTGTTGTAATAATGTCACCTTATGGCAGCATGTTTTAAAAATCGGTGCTTTTAGGTTTTAAAATTTAAATTAACAGCTGTATTTTTGAGTGATGACTGTCTACATAAAATCCTTTAAGGAAAAGGTAAAATATTTATACGTTTATGAGTAAGTATTTTTAATATATATTTTTTTTAATCTGGGAAAGGGCTTATAAACATTTCAGCAAAGATTCATTTGTAGGTTTTTATTTGTTTTATCTAAGCGTTGCATTATTTCTTTTCCTCTAGTTTTATGAGATATAATTGACATATAACATTCTATTTGTTTAAGGTATACAACATAACGATGTGATTTATGTATATCTTGCAAACTGACTACCACGATGTTTAGTTAACATCCGTTACCTCGGGTAGTCACAGATATTTTTTTTTCTTACAATGAGAACTTTTAAGATCTACTCTCTTAGTAACTTTCAAATATCTGATACCACGCGGTTAACTGCAATCACGTGCTGTGCCTTACATGTCCAGGGCTTACTCATTCCATGACTGGAAGTTCATACTTCCAACCCTCTGTTCTCATCCTCCCACGCACCCCCACCCCCGCCTCTGGCAGTTACTAATCTGTTCTCGATTTCTGTGAGTTTTTTTTTTTTTTTACGACACCAAATAAAAATGAAAGCAACAC